CACAACATCTTTGTTTGTATGTGGTGCTGAGGATTGAACCCGGCCGCACGCATGCCAGGTGAGCGCGCTACCGCTTGAGCCACATCCCCAGCCCCTCAAAAGTTTTTTATATTAAGACAGTGTCTCCCTAAATTACTGAGGCTGGACTCACTTCTGCCTCAGCCTTCCAAGTCACTGGGATTACAGGCATGTGCCACCACACCTAGCAGTATGTCATTTTTTAAATGTTTTTTTGTTTTGTTTTAATTAGTTACACATGACACTACAATGACCTTGACATATCATACATTTGAACCAGATGGGATATAATATCTCATTTTTCTGAGTATACAGATTGCAGAAAGTATGTCAATTTTTAAAGTACTGTGTGCATCTTTCTCTTCTTAGTTCACAGTTCCTATTTTGGTATTGCCTCTCAGGGAAGGCACTGTGTTGATCTGATTGCATAAAAGTGATATTACTGGCCTGGGGTGTAGCTCAGTAGTACGAGTACTTGCCTAGCATGTGTAAGGCCCTGTGTTGGATCCTCAGCACCACATAAAGAAAAATAAATAAAATAATGGTATTCTGTCCATCTACAATTAAAAGATTTTTTTTTAAAAAAAGTAATATTACCATTTGTCTCTGGCAATTAGAACACGGTCTGAGAAAAATTATGTTTAAAAGGAAAGGGGAGATTAAAAGTACCTTAACAATGAACGCTAATCTTAACAAATTTTATTTTGAAGTATTTTTCCAAATTCACAAAAAAATTTGCATAACATAAAAGTTGAAGAAAATAAAGAATTGCAAAACCTTGCATGAACAGGTGTTTTGGATACTTTCCTCTCTATTTAGGCCAGAGCTAAACACCATTCAGTAAACATTTATCCCATTTGTGTTTGGCACTATGGATACAAAACGTGAAGTGACAATAAGGCGAGGCTTTTCTTTCCTTTGTATTATTTATTAGTCCTTCATTATTTACGACGCTAGTAATGACACTCTGGTCTTCTGCGACACCATTTCTGCAAGGTATCATTCGTCTTTCCTTCGTTCATTTTACAGCTTTCGAATTTGGGTCAACAAGGAGCCAATCTGGACCCAGAAGAGTGACTTAACAGAGGGGAAAATACACCAAAGGTGAGTTCAGGCTGGCCGTGACCTGGCAGGATTCTTGAGAGTGTTTTCTGAAGGGGCGAGCCGAGACTGTCATTCAGAATTGAAGGTCTGCCATCCCCTTTCCCCTCTCAGCCTCCCTCTTTCCTCTGACACCACCCCTTAAACTTTTCCCCTTGCCTTTTCTACATTGCTGGTGTATGTAGGAATTTTTCGGCAGAAAGTTGCCAGGGAAATTTAAACTGATGACCTGACTTGTCTTGTGTAGATGTAATTTCCTAATTTCAGGCGGTACTTGTCCTCAGCCTGAAATTAGGAAAGTTGCTGAGAAGTGTTGCATTTCCCCCTCTCCATCAGTTTTTTATAGTTTTCAAGGGCCCCTAGTGCTGGAGGAAAAATGAAGTGAAAGTCAAAACCAAACCTTGAGAGACAGGGACCATGGCCGGTGTGTGAGGAAGCCTAGCTGCAAAGGTAGACCCCATGAGGAGTAAGGGGAGAGGCACCCTCACTGCAGCCGGTGGTGGACAGGGAAGAGTGGGGGCTCCTTCCCATTTGTGTAGACCTGCTCCTCAGTCCCCAGAGGCAGACCATTACTGCTTTGCACAGTGGCTTTTTTGGTGTGGACTCCAGGATGAGTGAGGCAAGCGACTGCACTTCAGCACTGATCAGCAAGGATGATGCTCCAGCCATCATGGGTCTCAGGCCTTCAGCTGGAGGGATGGGCCCACAGGTGCTTCTCGTAAGTGCTTCTCAGTGGCTGGTGATTCAGTGAAGGGGCAAGATTCTCCGCCCCTGCAAGAGATAGAGATTTGACTGTTCCTCATTTAAAGCAGTTCAGGGGTGGCTTGGGCTTAATTGGGGCTGGTAGAAGCTGTTTGTCATTGGCTTTGGGCCCCTATGGCGACCTCTGACGTGATATATCACGTGTGTACGTGGTGAGCATCAGCCTTTGTGTGCAGAGATCTCTCTCTTCCTAGCGGGGGAGCAGTATGACCAGTTCTGCTCCGTGTCTCTACTGCCTTGGGTTTGTCCGGCTATGCGGCCTGTTTGATACTGAATGTGGATTGACACAGCTTTGGTCGTTTTTACCTTGGAGAGAACATCTGAAGAGTTCTGTTTGTTGTTTGTGTTCTGGTTTTGAAGACCCATATATTTTTGTTAGCTCAAGATATCCTATAATGGACCCAAACAAGGTGAGCCATGTCATGGCCCCAAGCCAAACATGAGTTGGCGGTGTTGGCTTCAAATCATTTTAACTAATCACTATGGGTGGCTAATTGCTCTGTTCAATTAACTCTGCCACCTACGATAATAGAAAATGAGGATGTACTAAATCACTGTTTCAGGTAATAGTGTAGCTTCCTTTGGAAAAAGAAGCTAATGAAAATAATCATTAAGAATGTTTAATTTCTGTTCACTTTGGTGGTAAAGGTGGAACTTACCAACTGGTAAATAAGAGGGGAAAAATCTACATGTTCCATAAGCTGTCAATCCATCAACTCTTAATTCTTGGTTGTTGTGGATTCATGAGGATCAGAAATTCCTAGATGGTCTCTTTTTGGGGGGTCTAGTTATGTCATTATCCTGCATCGATGTGAATCTCAAAGGGGCAGCCGTGGTTCTCTTTGGCTTGTGTGAGGGGAGATGCACATGAGCACTTAAATCATAATTTTCCATTTTTTTGGTACTCCACCACTTTTTAGGCCTTCTTTTTGTAGGAGTCAAGAACTCTAGATGTGTTGTGGGAAGACTACTATGGATGACCAACTTCAAGGGAATTTTTGATCCAAAGGATCCTTTATGGTTATAAAATTGAAATTTGACAGAAGAAAAAGTTTTGGAGAAAATACTGTATCTACACATCATTGAGGTTTCATGGTGCCTCTTTGAGAGGTCAATATAGTCTGAGGAGGCAATCTATTTGCTTTTCTGCTTTATCAGGGAGAAGGCAG